ATGGTTGACTGTTGCTTCGTCACCTCCGCCGATGATCATATGGATGGTGCGGGCGGGGGAGGGTGGCTTTGGGGGACCTTGATGTGGTTCTCGTCCACGGGCGAAATTGGCTCTTCCTCAGTCGCTCATCAACTCCTTTAAATGTCCTTGGTGGAGAATGTTCACTACTTATTGTCGCAGGGCTATGCAATCCACGGTCTTATGGCCTCGTTCCTGATGGAACTCGCAGAGGGCATTCGAGTTTCTGGAATTTGGGTCTGACTTCATCTTTTGTGGCCATTTCACCTAGGTGTCGAGCTTCTCTAGGGCGTAAACTATTTCTGAAGGAGATACACAAAAATTGTGAACAAATAAAGTGGATGCATACCTCTTTCGTTTCGGTGAGTTCCCATTTGTGGCATGGACGACCCTTAGGCTTGGCAGGGAGGTGGTGGGGCGGTCGTTCTGATGTACGGTTGGTGTCTTTCCTAGTTGAGGCGTGGACCTACGTGATCTCTTCAACTGGCGTTCCGACGATCTTTCCTAGATTCCATTTGTACTGTCGTTAGCCGTTGGGTTGGACCATTGAGGTCGTCCTCATCCGCTCTCACCTCGGCGCAGTAAGCGTTATGAATTTCTTCCCAGGTGGTGGGAGGGTATTTCATAAGTCTGCTTAATAATTGTTTGGTCGCCCTCGACCCATTTCTATTTAACCCGTTTTGAAAGGCCGCTACCGTCATCCCTTATGATACGTTTGGCAGGCTCATTCTTACACTGTTGAACCGGGCGAGGAAGTTCCTGAGTCCTTCGCCAGGCGACTGTTTTACGGCGAATATGTCATTCACTCTAGCTTCTGCATTCTTGGCCCCAGCATAGGCAGTGACGAACTTGTCGGCCATTTCTTCGAATGTCATTATGGAGCGTGTCGGTAGTTGTGAGTATCATGTTAAGGCTCCTCCTATTAGGGTTTCACCGAACTTATTCAGCAGCACCGACAGTACCTGCTCTTTCGAGAGGTCATTGCCTTTTACCCCCGTGATGTAATGAATGATATGGTCTTCGAGGTCTGTTGTGCCGTCGTATATTTTTAGGTATGGTGGCATTTTGAAGGTTTTGGGTATGGCATATGGGGCTGCCTCCTCGCTGTATGGCTACTCTACGAACTGGCCGACATCCCATTTTGGCAGGAGTTTTGGGGCGCCTGGTATCTTATCAACTCTTTCTTGGTGCTCCCTCATTTGGTCGCGGAGCGCTTTATTCTCATTCTCCATTTCATCTATTTTCTTCATAACAGCTATGAGGGCGTCATTACCTACATCAACATTGGTGTGAGGGTTACCTATTGGGGGAGGAACGTGTTGCTCGTTGATGGTTATTGGGGTGCCGACTCGTGCGGTGTTCCTACTCGTCGCCCCTTGAGCGGGTTTCTCGAGTATACTGCTTAGGGTACTTGTCAGCCACGCCTCCAATAACTTTTTTACTGCGGGCGGCGCTTCTTTCGTCGTGGACGTGAAGGCTCCCTTCTCATGTGAAGCGGTTACGCTCCCATGAGGAGGAGGTGAATCACTTTTCCCGGGTGAGATGCTCGGCGTCACGTTCTCCTCGTCTTCCCTATCCACCTCGTTGATGGTGCCTAGGAGATTTGTGGTGACACACATCACTATTGCCAATCTTTCCTCTCCTTTTCCATCCATTTTTAGCTTGTGCAAACAAGAAAAAAGGGAACTTTTGTCGTTTTTTTTTTAGATCTAGAACAAACTAAACTTTTTAACTAGGAACTCCCCACAGACGGCGCCAAATTGTTTGACCAAAAAATTTTAAGCCCTTTTAGTTAAACCAATTTAATAAATAGACAAGGGGTGAATCCTAGTTAAAAGTAATAAATTCCAGATCCGAAATTGAACAACTTGGACGGTATGGGACGGTGTCCACGTCAACACACGCCGAGTTAATGCTCAATGACTTGTAATAAATATGAGGATGAAAACATGCAATAAATGTGATAAATGGCATTAAATGTAATAAGAAGGAATATGTCACCCAAATGTTGAATGAGATGGATGATTCCTTCCCCTGACTACAACGTGTGACATTAGACAATGGAAATGAACTATGTGTTCTTGGATCCTGTGAACTAAAGAGGAATATTATGAGATGGAATCAAATAAGAAAGACAAGACAAGCTTTTTGTATATTCTTGATAGTCAATTCTTTGTAAGACGTTCTTTTCTAAAGGTCCCGAATCCCCTTTTGTTTCCTCTCTCTTCCTATTTATAAGGGATATCCCTAGAAAACCCTAAAAAAAGTACAATGTGGGGGAATATTCAATAGAATATTTCTATTCACAATCATAGGAATATTCTAACAATTGCAGCCATTTTCTCTCTACTCGACCTCGGCACTGGTCTTCCCCTTTGAGCGACTCCTCGCCACTGGACCGTGCTTGGTTTCGACCTCGGCCTCAGCTCGTCCATCTGCATTTGCTAAACTAGACCTAATTTTGGCCCATACACAGACTACGGCGGAGCCATATAGATCCAAGGGGTGAAAATTACACTGTTTAATAGATAAAAAATATTTTTTTTATGTGTATATATATACTATATATTGAATTCCCTTGATTTCTTCGTGTATTTACTTCTTTAACTTTTGACACCCCTTAATAAAAAAACCTGGCTCCGCTACTAATCGAGACCATAGGTCATGAAAGACCCCTATCCTTAACTATGTAGGGCTAATGAACTCCTCGCATTAGTCCATTATATTGTTTCCCTTCTTTGGGCTCGGGTCGATAGTACAACAACAACAACAACAATAACATACCCAATATAATCCCACGGGTGGGTTCTGGGGAGGGTAGTGTGTACGCGACCTTACCCCTACCTGGAGAGGTAGAGAGGCCGGCTCGAGTCGGTAGTAGCCATGGTAATAATGCAATGGTTAGAAGAAATAAAAGTTGTAGAAGAACAAACTCCCATTTGCCATGTTCTAATCTGCTACATTGTAAGTTTTCATCGTTTGAATACTTGTATAACCAATATTATTACATTCATCTGTGATCCAATATTTGCAAATAATGACTATGCTACCATTACAGAAATGCTAAGCTACTTCATTTCTCGTTGGCCAAAGGACTTCATTCCTCGGCATATCAATTAATTTGACAGGCACACCAAATCGATTTCCATCTTCTTGTTTTTGTTATACTATTCACCGTTGAAGTATATAATTAACACGCATAACTATTTTGAAGGAAAAAAGAATCGAATAAGAAAGGAAACCTTGTAGGTTCTGCTTTGCCTATTCAATCGCAACATACCTGGGAAAGTACAAGTACTACAAAATATGAATTTGAAGTTGCCATACCATTTCAGAAAACCTTCAAGTCGTAACATTTTAAGAGGATATACTTTCGTTTCTAATGGACATGACACGGTAGGGAATAAAGAAATAATACTAAATAAAGGAAGTTTTATTCATGTAAAGAGACAAAAGGAACTTCCCACGAGTCTGCAACAAAGACAGACAACACAAGTAACACAAAGTAACAAATAACACAAACACGATAAAATAACATCAACATGTGAATTTCCGAAAGGGCAGCATCTCAGGCACAAACCAGCAAAATGGAAAGGTGGAGACACTTGGGATCTCATTCCTCCTCGGACTCGGACTCAGCACTCTGTAACCATTCAACAAAGGGTTTGACATTCTTCCAAATTTTGGAGTCCTTGTTCCCAGCAGCACCCTTGCCGTACCACTGTACTATATATTCTTCCTCCAGCACATCAGCATCATATAAAGCTTTCAAAACCAGAGCCACTTCCTTCAGTGCAACTGGGTATTTCCCACAAAATTCTTCAATAGCTCGAAGCAATCGTAGCTGTGACTCCTCGTCTTGAGCAACAGCAGCAAGGTAACTTTTCTTCTTAAGAACCTCCTTGGCAAATCCTTTCTGAACGCCATCAGACAGTGCCTCGTACAGAGCAGTGATAACTTCCTGAGGAGACCCAGAGAGTGAACCCAAACAGGATTGCAATTGGCTGGCAGTAACTCCCTTTCTTATATTTGTTTTCACCTCCTCAACAAGCCTCTCGTGATTTGTCTCTCCATTCCCTGTCGTCGGATTCTTAGATGGCACCGCAGCAGCTGCTTTAGGACTTTGGGCTTGAGTAGCCACCTTGGACTTCTTCTCTGACTCAATTGTTGAAAGCATAACCATTTCGGCAGTTGCAGCATTTAGCTGTTCTTGTATACGCTGCTGAGCAGCTTCTAGTGATGTATCCGTCTGCCACTGGATGTCATCATCATCATCTTCTTCGTCCTCTTTCACATTAACATGGTTTCTAGGTGGTGAAGCACGATCCTCATCCGAGCCACCGTGTTTCTTTTTAGAGCTAGGTTTTGCACTAGAATCTTTGGAGGAAACCTTTTTCTTTGTCTTCAGCTTCTTCTGCTCTTCATCAGCAGCCTCGCCTTCCTTCAGTCGCTCCTTCTCAGCTCTTCTCATTGCTTTCTTGTCCTTGGAGCCCTTCTTAGGCTCGGGCGGGTTCTTCAGTATAAAAGTTGTCAGCTTGTCCCTCATGTCCACATCAGAAATGAAACCACACGCAGCGCATTTCAGTTGGATCATTTGAGTCTTAGTTATTATGACCTCCGTTTCAGGGTTTCCACAACCGTAGCACTGCACATATTTCTTAATAAAGTTCTCAAGAAGACCAGCAAGTTTAGGAGTTTCATGAGCTCCATTGACAAGTGCAGTTCCAGTTTTTTCATCAAATTTTGACTGAGCACCGAGCTCATTTCCAAAATATTTTGTAGTATAGGATGGGGGCCTTGCTAAAGCTTTGGCAATATCAACCATGTTCACCACATTTGTCTTGATTCCATTCCCACGCCCCTCTATCTTGGTAATCATCCTGGGCATCTTATACCTGTAGAAGGCATCATCACTGTTGCTGGCACCAATATTCTGCAAAGCCATCTTTGATTCAGTGAGATATTCCCAAATGAAGTGTTTGTTAGGAGTCTTCAGAGAATTCTTCAGCAGAACAATTGCACAGTATGTCGGCAGAAGGTTGTGCCTTGCAGCAACCACAGAAGTCAATGTGTTCTTCCTGTAATGATCCGAGATGCATACAGTAAACCCAACGTGAGAAATGATGGTTCTTTTTTCTTGACGTAGGACAATACTCTCCAAGCAATCCAATGGATCCCAAATAGAAGATGGCTTGTTCGGACATAAAAGAAGTTTCACTTAGACCACTACAACTCTGAAACTCCACAAAAATCACACTACCTGCAACCTTCAAAAAGAAGAACCACGAGTCAAATACGGGCAGAGAAACCAAAAGCTACTACACTACATTATACTAATAAATAGAGGCAAAAGACAATAATTGTGACAGACAGCAGACAGTTAGCAGACTGTTCCACCCTTAAGATTCAAAGTTGAATTCCTTTATGTCATAGCAGCATGAATAACTATACATTCTATAAAAAAATTGCAACAAATGGCAAAACCCATAAAGATGAATAAATAGATCGACAAAGGTACACCATGATAAATTAATCCGCCAAAGACCATCAACATTCCCTTAGGTCATTTATCAGTGTGTGTATATAAGCTTCTAAGTTGCATACTCCGGAAACACTTGGAAGAGAAACACAAGATTGCAGTCTTTCAAAAAATTATTTGTCCACAATGCCCCAATTCTTTACACTTCTTTAAACTGAATCATCAATAGCAGACAACATTCCTGTTATAATTTACCATACCATAGTCATTTTGGGGGTGGGGGTGGGGGTGGGGGTGGGGGTGGGGGAGATGACCATCTAAATGAATAAATTAGGCATCATGCCATCAGTAACGGAGCTAGGAATTTATACTTAAAAACAATAGAATATCTCTAGAGGGTTTTGGACTAGTGACTAACAGCAATTGAACTTGTAACTGAAAACAATTTCTGAACACCCTTTGCTACTTCACTTGACTTTTTCCTCATGTAAGGGAGATTCAACAGTTATAATTTTAAGTTATAACCACAATAAATTGCTTTTCTCTATTTACAGAATAATTTTTCAACAACTTCCCTTAACTCCACCACCACATGCCATAGAGCCATCCAGTGCTTAGGTAAGGCATCCTCAGCTTAGCGAAAAACAAAAGCACTTCATATAGGCAACAACTATCAAATAAGCTAATTCTTATACAATTTTACTCTGACTACAGCTTAAAACATACTCCCCCTCTGTCTTTTTGGTCTATCCAAATAGAATGACGCCTTTCTATATTTAGAAACAACTTAACTTTAAACTTTAATTTACCCTTATTGAGAAGATTTATAGTGTATATGGCTTGTTGTAGACCACAAGTTTCAATAGTTTTTCTTTTGTTCTTTCTTAAATACATTGCTCAATCAAACAAACTCACATAAATGGGATGGAGGGAGTACAAAAACCAATAGTCAACACCAAATTAATCGGAATCTGACATATGAACTACCATCAATACCCATTCCACTCTATTTCGCCTCCTTTCACTCCGATTCTAGAAAAAATTGTCTTTTAAACCAAATCAGAATTCCTATAAAGCAAGAGATTCTCTAGAAACAAAAAAAAAAACTAAATATCTCACGTATCAGTTACTAAATTCTCAATCAATCAAATAAAACTCAATCAATCAACTAAATAAAATAGATCGGAAAGGAGACGACTAAATAAAATAGATCAGAACGAAGATGAACTTATATATAACATAAATAAATACGCAACAAACATCGATTCAGCAACTCCAAAATTACGTTAATCAAATCGATGAAAAAGCTAAGAATAAGATTTAGAAAAAGATCTACAATGCAGCTTTCATGATGAAAATAGGTAAACGATACATAAAAACAAGAAGAAAAAGTAATCAAATACCTTATAGATTTGAAACGAGGAGGAACAAATCTGCAATAGAATGAAAGAGGAGAGAAACTGGAACACGTAAAATAGGGTTTAATATAGAGGAAAGGGAACTGAGGAGGAGGACAGGCAGCCCTAGAAGATTGTTTATATAGGGTTGGGAAGGGTATTATACCAGATACTTCTCTGCCTCTCCACGCCTTAAAATTTTTATTTTCGGATTTCGACTAACCTAATTAATCTTGGCCGTTATTATACCGACATAATTTTTATGCAAGACAGACTGTTTGGTTACGGAAGTAGAGGATGATTTGGTTGCCAAAACAAGTCATGTAAGATTGTTATGCAAAACTGCAAATGAATAATTATACCAAAATTGTTATGAGATGCGAGATAATAATATGATTGTTATGTATAGATTATCTATTCAAAGGATATTTTTGTCGTTAGACTTTCTTTATTCTTCTATTATTAATAATAAATGCATTCTTATTCATTTTATCACAAATAAAATATGGTATTATTATTAGCTATATAAAGATTAATGCTGACAACCAAACCTCTTATTTAGTTTGTCACAACCCAAACCAATGGCTGCGACGGGCACCCGGTACCTTGCTCAACCAAGTACCTACATAACGTATCATACTATCATAGATAACTGAGCCGGAGAGGCTGCCGTGAAATAGGTAGAATACAACATGTAATACCAACTTATACATAAGACATATGGGCCTCTAAGACCAAAATAATCACTTGTACACTGAACATAGGCCGACAAGGCCATACAATCTTTTACGTACATGACATCTGTCTACAAGCCTCTAAGAGTACACACTTAACATAAAGGTCGGGACAGGGCGCCGTCATACCAAACAATACGCGTCTAAGTCATACTGACCAAACAAGCAACTTCGGAGCAAATGGAGCGCACCAACATCTTTCGCTGAGCTAATAGCCTACCTGAAAGACTCTCGACCTGTCGATCGGGACCTGCAGGCATGAAACGCAGCGTCCCCAGGCAAAAGGGACGTCAGTACGAATAATGTACCGAGTATGTATGCCACGTAAATAAGTACATAACAGACATGGAAGAAATATAGAGTAAATGACTCAACCTGTAAGTCTGGATAACTCTGTAAAACATGAAATAATTAGTGTCACGCATATGCGTATGAATGTCATGTCGTGCATAGGTACATGTTTCATGACATCATCATGCCTCTGAGGGCATCCTATCATATCATCTCGGCCATTGTGGGCAAAATCATCCACGTATACCAATTGATGAGGTGGTAGTGCGTATATAACGCGATAACCTTTACCATATCCCATATACATATATACATATATATATATATATATACGCGTATACAACATCATCTGGTCATGTGTCAATGTGCATGTATAAATGCATGAAATGCATATGAAATACGTTAATAAAATCTCTCGGTACGTCATAAGACCATTATGCCTCTGATTAATATCATGAATTAAACTTTACCAACTTACGTATTTTTGAGACCCATAAACAGATGATAGAATAATATGACACATGGGAAATCAAGAACATAAGCATCTCTAGTATTTCTATGAATAGAGTCATTTACGGAAGTTGTGCATTTGCTCGTTTCGTTTGAATCGTATAGATCATGCCAAAAAGGAAAGAAGGGATAGACTTAACATACCTAGAGTAGGAAAAATCTGTGTGATATTCTTGAAAAAGGTTGCACCGTACTCCTTTAGAACCGCAAAATTTTACGTTGCAAATAATTCCTTTTGGATTCCTTTTAGTTGCGAGAACTCACGTTTTTTTGTGGGAATTCGGTAAGGAATTACATTGAACCCTCACATCTGATTGTAAAGTTTGAGAATGAATCTATTGAAAGGTTAGGAGAATGACTGAACGTCTTTCCCCACCTTGATTATAATATTGTATAGAATTTCTTAAAGTTGACAAGTCTTGTTGTTAGCATATTAAGCTGCCACTTAAAAAGAATGGCTGAGAGTCATTCATTTAGAATGTGGCTTGGTGCCACGTGGGGATGGGGGTGAGAAATTTAATCTTTATCCATTTATTAGTTAATTAGGTAATGTCCCGTTGCCGGTAATTAACCAACCACCCGCGTAATTAAAAATTATCTCAAATTACTTAAATTCTACTTATTTTTAATATACTTTATACATCATACTACCATGGTCATATGGTACCCTGTATGGTACTAGTCCATAAATATCGGGTATTATCGCTTGGCCCGTTTTATCCCAACATGCCAAACTTGGACGAAAATTTATTTTCTTTGACTTGCTTCCCCTCTCCTCTTCACGAATTTACTCATCACTTGTTTGAAATAGCACAATGCCTATAACTTTAAAATAATCCCATTCCCGAACTTACGTCGATTAATTTTCGACGAAACTTTAACATATAAAAATACGGGATATAACATCATTCCCCCCTTTGGAACATTCGTCCTCGAATGTTGACTGATAAACTTATCATTCTCATAACCCATAGCTTTTACGAATACTTTAGTGTTCCTCTTGCCATCTAGGCAACTATTCTGTGAATAAGTCTCAAGGCTAGGGCATTCCTCCCTTTAGTCCTCTTCCTCATGTCACGACTTGTGGTTAGGATCTTTTCAATCTTGTAACTGTTGCTACCTTCTGTTATGCAGCCTTTACGACTTTGACCTTGTAAGTGCGCTTATGCGACTCTTCTCCCCTTTTTCCTCTAGCTTCTAGCGAATCTCTAGGACTCACTTCGCAAACATATACAGAGCTTTAAGAAATGTCCCTCTGGGCATTTGTAGGTATACTAAAGTTCTTTGCTCGGTATTTTGTTGAAATTACAATTATTGCAACATCTTGTTTCATAGAACCGGTTATCTAACCGCGTGATTTTTACCGTATCTAGGTAGGCCATTCTATACAATAACTCTTACTTCAATTTATCGTTACTGAGGTCTGCTACCAAATTTCAGGTTACTCTTTTGCTGCTTATATGTATAGATCTGAGTCCTTTAATGCTTCCTCATTACTATTCATTTTAAGAACGACGGCCTATTCTCATCTTATATTTTGTAACTCTTATCCATCCATTGTTGATTCACCTCAATATTGATCTACACTCTACCACTGATAATTTGAAACCTCTCACGTAGTCACTAGGGCTCACGTTGCATCGAGGATCATTTGAAGTGATTAGACTAATCCACCTGGGGTGATACCATACTTCCATTGCATCCCAATGTGATTCACCTTGTGTGGGTATTTTAATCATGTCCAATTCATGAGATCCCTTTATTTTCTTTGTTAGATCATTACTCAATCGAAGGCCCAAACGTCATCCTTTATCTATCATAATTACATCCTTATTCTATTACCAAGGCAGCATTCC